GCTGCCATGGATAAGACGCAGAGGATCAGAGACGACTGTCGCGTCTTGATGACTGGCGAGGATGGCCCGACGAAAGCTGGGTAGGTATCTCTCACTACAGGCTTGCCTTCACACTTTGACCAACCTTCTGGACAATAAACTGGACATACTGTCTGCAACATCTGGATACCTGGAGCAGGCACACCAGAAGATCTTCTGCTGGTGCTGCTTTGAGTTCCGGCAGATGGGTCGGGACGCCCAGCTGAAAGTCAGCCCTTCTATGGGCGAAGCCGTGTGGAGGCTACGACATCGCCCCGAGCTACTGACGTATGTGGCCTATTTAGTCGCCAAATCTTCCGAACGTGTATTCACTTCTCCGTGCCCAGCGAGGCGCTTACTTATCTGTCCCAAACACGTCAAGCGACGTTGCTGACTGCGTTCACTGACGCACTCACGCGTGGAGGTCCCGGCGGATTGCCTCGACCGATTGAGCTGCATGCGCACGACCCGCTGCGATATGTGGGAGATCTGCTCGCTTGGGTACATCAGGCGATTGCCGCGGAGCGAGGGTTCTTGGAGGGGCTTTTTGGTGTGAAAGGGGACGGCCGCATGGTCGGAAGCGTGCGGACGTTTTCCCAGAGCGAAGAAGAAGAATGGATGGCTGAGCTGATAAATGCGGCTGTGGCAAAACTGTGCACGCCTTTGAAGGTCTGTGCAGCTTTTTCGACAACGTAGGCTTCACGCGGGCTGATATGATGCTTCTAGAACAGGGTGCAGCAGACAGTGCGGTCACAGGAAAGCAGCATCACGTCATACAAGATCGCGAATCTGCTGCAATTCTACACGATACACGTTGACGATGCAGCGCACGGTTGGCGGGGATGCAGTTCTTTCTAAGGCGTTGAAGCAGTGCGTGAATTGATGGGATTGCATAATGCGATATGTACTGATTCCGCAGTGACACAGGATGACGGACATGGTGTATCAGGTGTCCTTCGATTCTATCAACGCGCAAGGTCGTTCGCTGCTGCGCGTACCGCCTGTATGTCATGCTCCTATTGATCGATTTCGCGAAGACCGCTAAGCAAAGAATTCTTAGGATCTCGATGACCGAAGCGTCTCCCCACCGCTTGTCATTCTTGACCACGCACAGGTGCTGCGTGAAGTCATGCTAGTATACGACTCGTCGCTGCTTGGTGAGGAGACGGAGGAGCAATTGCACGCAGGCTTCCGCGACATCCTCGACAAGATGGTCGATCCGGCGATCGAGACTTGCCTCACCTCCGCCGAAAAGAAGCAGAAGCTTCATCCTGGATGGGACAAGACGGTGTTTGTCCTCATATCTGCAGAGCGTCATCGAGCCATTCGCATTCACATCCGAAAAGCAAGGTGTCATACAATGTTTGGTGGAAGCGAAAGTATTGCAACTGACGGAGGAACACGTGTGTAGTCTACTTGTGTCATGACACGTTTCCAACTAATGCTTTGTCAATACTAATAGTACAGGAATATTCTCCGGGACGCCGGGCTGGAAGAAGTGCTCGTCGCAATCGATAGTCGTCAGCCGAGTGTACGTTTCCCATCGACATAGCAAGGGCAGTGCACTCATGATGTCATGCATATCACAGGAGCCTCTATCACACATACCTTCCGCTCAACCTACACGAATCCAAGCTGCGCTGCGTCGCTTCTCAGACTGGCTTTCCGGACCGGGAGTCGTGGAATCTCCGCGGCTGGCTCAGCTGACGGTGCAGAGTCTCGCGGCGCGCGTGCACCAGGCAGTGAGTGCCCGTTCGGGCAGGTGCACCTATTGTACCAGATCTTCGGGCTACACGAGCCGGAGCAGGTGGACGAAGCCGCAGCTGTGTAGGTGGTGAAGCACTGTACATCCGAGCTTGCTTCCAGTCCGGATACAATATGTTGTAAATATGACATTTTAAAATGTGGCATATTATTTGTCTAAAAAGTAAGATATTATTTATTTAACAATTATGAATGAGACATGATACCGAACTAAATTTTAAAAATATTATGCCAAGACCAGTTTTGATTGGCCCGATCATCTGTTTCCAGGAGGAAACATTCTGAACACATGCAGCAGCCACCCGGAAAACATCCTGATTTCATCCGGGAATCATGGTGGCAGCATTCTAAAGACATTATCAATGTTTTCCTAATGCCTTTGCGAAGCAAGCAATGTTTCTCCTGATTGCATACAAGCTGCACATGCCCTTCTCACCGTGGGCACATGATGGATACATGTAGACTGCATTGACAAATCATCTCCAATGTTTCCACAGGAAACACGATCAATAAAAACATCATGTGGCCCAAATGATATGTTGAGAAACATTTTGGACGCACAGTGATGCCATCAATAATGAGGCAGTGTTGATTCCCACTTGATTCAACCATTTCTATCGGTGGAAACATTCAAAATGTTACTGGAATCATGCCACGTTGATATAAGTGACAGCATCGGGCACAAATCCAAATAACAATTATAATGTCTGCAGAGTTTTTCACCAATGAGAAAGCTGATTCAATTCAAAATGTAACCAGCTACAGTCTCACTGAATCACACAGGAAATATCTAGATGGCATTTCGGCAGCATTCAAACTGTTGTCACCATGAATCCAACGGAAACATAAGTCACATCATTGTGACTGTAGTCACGGTGTGTTCACGATGTTTCCGATGGAATCACAGGTCAATGCCCCCGGTGTCTGTGGCTCGCCATACGGTACATGAAACTGTCGCACTTGTAGACTCAAGTGCGGGCATGAAAGCCGAATTTTTGTCGCAGTGTAAAATCAGTCATATATTAATCGCAAAGGTGAGTGACATTAGTTTTCCGCGAGACAAATAGAGGAGCAAAACCTTTGCTAGTGCAAGGCCACTGTACTATACCTTATGAGAATATATTATCAATAATCCAGGATACCAGCTGCTTTCCAATCCTTCTTATGAAAGATTATGATATGTTCGCATGAATCACTCACCTTGCTTGTTCGCAACTGGCCCGCCCAGGACCGGTGGCTGACCTGTAACTCCTGTGGTCGACCATCATGATGCAAGGAGGTTTCATGGCGCCTCGCATCAGAGTATTCAACCTATCGGTATAAACACAATACAGGAGGTCCACATGCTGCATTGCGGCCTTGATATTGTTCAGAACGGGTTGTGATGCTACAACTTCCTGCATAAATGATGAATCCACTGAGATCGAGATTATTGGTTTAGTCTTAGGAAAAAAATACTTAAAAGCTGCAATGTGCTTAAATATGATGTATGCCATATGAGCATGCAGCACACATGCGACATACCACACGTGCTGCTTGAAGAAGGAGGAGCGACCAGACACTCAGGTAGGACGCGGTCACGTGCGCTACCAGAAGGAGTAATCCGTGTGGCCACTCAATTGCCGCCCATCGGTCGAGATGCGCACGAATGCGGCCTGGCAACTGCCACAACGCTCTGCGTCGAGTCGTCGACCGTTCACCGTCTTCCACTCCTATAACTGCAAGAACATTTCCCCTTGTGCTGATTTGGGGTCAAGATGTCTGACAGCGGGGCAGCAATCAGTGCGCTTTCCGGGGAGTTCATTAAGGTGTCTTCCTCAGCGCCTCACGTCGCCCTCGTGGAGCTCTCGCGGTGAGTTTGTTCGCATGTAGTTGAGTATATTCAGTAACTCAGGCCTTCACAATGCAAGTGGTCCAGTAAACGCGTTCAATGAAAGGTAAGACCTTGTGCACGCTTATCGTTATCGTCGTTCCAACGCAGTCGTGATGCAGTTACTGGACGGAATTCGGGCACGTTTTTGACAAGATCTCACGAGATCCCACCGTCCGTGCCGTCGTCCTCGCCTCTTCACTTCCGAAGGCCTTCTCTGCGGGACTCGATCGTATGCTTTCTTCCCCCACGGTCATTGTAAAAAGTACTAACACATGACCAGTGAAGGCACTTGGAAGCCTGGAGGCATTTGCCAAGGAGCCTGATAGGCATGCACTACAGCTGAGAGACCATATCTCTTCCTTTCAGTGTTGCATCTCTGCGGTGGAGCGTTGTTCATATCCTGTGATCGCTGCCGTGCACGGTATCGCACTCGGACTCTCGATCGACATCATATGCGCATGCGACATCCGATACGCTGCATCTGATGCCATGTTCTCCATTAAGGTACTGCTCTCTTAGCAAGTCCCTGATGCACATGTTAATCGTGGGCATTGCAGGAAGTCGACATCGGTCTCGCAGCGGACATTGGCACGCTCGCGCGCCTGCCGAAGATCGCGGGAAACATGAGCATGGTACACGAGCTAGCATACACCGCGCGCAACTTCTCTGCTGTCGATGCGGAGAAGATGGGCCTCGTCTCGCAGGTCGTGCAGGGAAGCCGAGAGGAGGTCGTCCGCTCTGCAGTGAAGCTCGCGACAGCAATTGCGGGCAAATCGCCCATCGCGGTACTAGGCACGAAGCACTTGCTGTTGCACGCACGGGATCATACGTAAGTGTCATGGAACCAACTGTTGACGTAGGAGGCTAATTGAATGATCTTAGTGTGCAGCAGAATCTGGACTACACGGCAACGTGGAACAGCATCATGGTGCAGACTGCGGTGAGTGGCAATATTCGCTCAAGCAAACATCGTGCTGCGAGGATAGCTGATGCTGTCCGACCGGCTATAGGATATGAAGGAAGCTCTCAGAGCCGTGAAAGCGAAGGAGAAGCCTCATTATCCCCCGCTGGCGAAGCTTCCCTCCAAGCTATAATCAAATGCAACAATTTCCTATGATCTTGTGCTGCTATCTTCCCTTCGCCCATATTGTCTCGGAAGGGTCCGTCACCCAGTTCTCCATTGTGATAGCTCCCTGTTTCCTCCATGTAATGACTGCTCTGCGCTCGATACGTTATCCGACAGTAGACTCGTCATCTGGTGAGTGCTCTTTGCTACAATGTGCTACAAGTTATCGCAAGAGATTGGCTGTGATGAATCTCCGAGCCGAAGTTCGAAGTTCGAAGTGCGGAAGATGTAATCAATCGGCAGCGGATGCGGGCATACTTAGGCTCACTCATCAATGCACCACCTTTCATGACACTGGTGAACCTTAGAGACCAGGAACACGACTTATAAGTCAATGATCCTTACAAAGCAAGGTAAAGGATCCTCGGCACGGTAAAAGGATCTTCGACACGAAAGCGAAGAGCCTGCCAAACGGTCCGGTGCTTCAAATGCCTTGCCTGGAGACCCGAAGCGCCCGCCGCGTATGGCCAATGAAGAGGATCGGCAGCCCTGCAAGGTGGTGGAACAAAAGAGCGTGTGGCACCCTCGTATCCGAGAGCTGCCAGAAACGCAGCTGTAGCGCTAAGCCGTTGCCAGTCAGACTATCCCCGCGAAACTCGCCGCTCACTGCGCAACGGTCCGGGTCCAGCATCCGTCACGCTGGACCAGTCCAGTGCTGCAACGAAGAAATGCAGAGAGAGAATGATGGCGTCGACCACCATGGACTAGGCGAAATCAAGCAACTCCTATCAGGCCAGTCGGTCCAGCTGACGAGCCCATATCTCCGGGGTCCAGAGTTGCGTTGCCTTCAACTTGATGAGTTGCAAGCTCGTGGGCGAGCACACGTTGCATTGATATCTACAGAGCACGAAGCCCTTCGGAAGCCCTTTGTCAATCATGATCCTTCACAGGCGATTCCAAGACCGTTTCTGGCTCTTCACTGACCACATTTGCACGTCACGTTAACACGCCTCGGGGGCAGACTTGGAATCAATCCCACGACCACATCCGGCCAAAGCAGGAATCCCATGCCACCAGCAAGCAAGCAGTGCCTGCAGCGAGTGGACGACTTTGAGAAGAGCTGGAAGCTGTTGGGAATGTTCCCAGTCATCTCATCCGTAGCAGGAATAGTTCCAGGATAACGCGAAGCGAAGTGACTCGGTGTGGTGTCGACTAGACTCGATAGCCGCAGATAAGATGGTGATGGATATGAGCTCTGAAGGCGTCGGGCGAGTTGCACCATAGGTTCCGTCGTCAAGAAGCTGTCCCCAGGTAGTCAGCCAGACTCACCCGCCCTATCAGCGATACGTATTTTATGTATTTGGCGTCCATATGCACATCGGGGAATTGCAAGGACTGTATATGGAAAGTTTAATGAGAATAGAACAAAGGTCAAAGAGTAATAGCTGAGAAAAAGAGTCGGAGGCAGGGCCGTCGCTGCCACTGAGTCTATGCAGACCAAATACATGTAACTTCCCTCTTCATCATCGACGACGACGGCGGCGATGACATCCACTGGTAAATCGCGCTCGCCCTCCCTGTCGTCGTCGCCCAACCCTGCCGTCCACACTCCCAAACTCCCCAAGTTCCTCCACAAACAGCGGGACCGATCCAAGTCTCTTCTCGACCCCAATGCGAACAGCAGCGCCGGCAGCAGCACCACAAGCTCGTCTTCATCGTGCTCCAGCCCAGCCTTTGACACAGGCAAGTCCCGCAAGGCGGCCAAGAAGGTATTTGGCGTGAGGGGGGACCGCGAGCAGCGCCGGCAATCGCAGGACACCAACAACAGCCTTGACCGCGTCCGTTCGACCGAATCCGCAGGCGACGAGCCTCCCATCATCATCGAGCCCGACGCAGAACCTGCAACTGAGCCTTTCAACGTCCCTCGCACACGAGCCCGCGAGGGCAGCATCAGCCACGCGCAGTCCGCATACTACCCCTCGAGCTCATCTACCTCGCGTCTCTCGGACCTGCCCACTCGGCTATCGGGCTGGTTCTCGCACACCTTCAGCACCTCCAACACCGACCTCTCTCTCCCCTCGCTGCTCGCCCAGCAAAACCCCGGTGCACCATCGGGCTCGCCCAGAAAGAGCTCCCCATTGCTCACCGCTGCGCGGCACGGTAAAGGCCACCTCGACAAGGCGATGCGCTATCTCCTCGACAGCGACGCCACGCCCGACAAGTGCACGGAGCCGATATGGCTGCTCGGTGTCGAGCATCCAGGCTATGAGCAGCCACCGTCACCACCGCCTCCAACAGCGTCCGCGTCTGCGCTAAACGCAAGCTTGGGCTCGGGTAGCATCGTCCGGCGCGGTTCCATTGAATCACGACATCGCTCTTCTTCCAATCGTTCTTCCGCGTCCTCGTCTCCCGTCGTCGTCAGCCCTGATTTGACCCTTCCTGATACCTCTTCAACAACATCGCAACAATCAGCTTCGAAGGACGCCTCTAAGGACCCGTCGCGGTTCTGGCCACCCGTGTTCTATGCCGACTTCACATCACGAATATGGCTCACGTATCGATCTCAGTTTCAGCCAATCCGAGACACTACGTTGTCTGCCCTGGAGACTGAGATCGAAGAGAACGTCGTACTCGGCAATAGCCCACAACCGAAGCGATGGAATTGGTCATTAGGTGGAGAGAAGGGCTGGACGAGCGATACGGGATGGGGATGCATGCTTAGGACGGGTCAATCGCTGCTTGCAAATGCGCTGTTGCATTTGCATCTAGGACGAGGTACGCATGCCGCCACTGCTCAACTTCGTCTTCCTTATTGCATTTCCATAGAATGGCGAAGACCGCCATATCCCCTGTACACCGTCGACTACGCAACATACGTGCAGATCATTACCTGGTTTCTTGATAATCCTTCCCCTTTATCTCCGTTCAGTGTCCACCGCATGGCTCTTGTTGGCAAGGAGCTGGGCAAGGAGGTTGGGCAGTGGTTCGGACCCAGTACCGCAGCCGGTGCGATCAAGTAAGTGAACTGCTTAATGAATCTCCAAGCTAGATTTCATCTCCTTTGCAGGACCCTTGTACATGCATTCCCTGAAGCAGGGCTCGGGGTATCCGTCGCATCGGATGCTGTAATATATCAATCTGACGTCTACGCGGCTTCACGCTCCACCATGGGCTCTCCACGCAAGCACGCACGGTCTGGATGGGGCGACCGCGCCGTTCTCGTGCTCATTGGTATTCGATTGGGTATTGACGGAGTTAATCCTATCTACTACGACTCTGTCAAGGTTCGTTTGTTCTCTTCGAGTTTCTGAAGCTTCCTGACGCCGTTCCATCAGGCCCTATACACCTTTCCACAATCAGTCGGTATCGCAGGCGGCCGTCCATCTTCTTCATACTATTTTATCGGGTCGCAGGCGGACAACCTCTTCTATCTTGATCCTCATCATTCACGTCCTGCAATCCCTTTCAAACCCCCGCCCAAGCAGGGCGATCCCACACCCTCTCGCCCGACTTCTCCTGACTCTTCAGACGAGCGCGACCGTAATCCGCGCAAGGCGCACCATTTCCGTTCGCCGACTACTCCTAATGCCCTACGCAACAGCGGGTCAGGTTTTGTGAACCGCCCACCGACCGTGCCATCTCCGCTGCAGCAGCAGGTGTCGTCATCCTCAAACGCTTCTAGCTCGTCGCCATCGTCCACACAGTCGCATGCGCGCTGGCAGTCGTCGAGCGCAGTGCCGGATGACTCGGAAGTGTCCTCGTTGGCGGCGGACCTCAACCCTGTTCAGCGCCATTATGTCACGGCATACTCTCAGGCGGAGCTGAAGACGTTCCATTGCGACCGCGTCCGGAAGATGCCCCTGTCGGGTCTTGATCCTAGCATGCTGATTGGCTTCTTGTGCAAGAATGAGAACGACTGGCTTGACTTCAGGAGACGAATAAGCGAGGTGAGTGTTGCGCTTCGCCATCCTCAGTGTAGGAGATCTGGCTGATGTGCTGCTTGATAGCTTGGACGCACGTATAAAGCTATGTTCTATATTTACGACGAGCCACCGAATTGGCCGTCCGATTCCTACGATAATATTGGCCTGGAGTCATTCTCCGAGCCTGATATAGACATGCCCGAAGAGGACAACTTCTCTGACAGGGCTCGCTCGCCATCTGCTTCGCCAGATACTAGCGTGCATGGCGTGGGGTCCAAGTCGGAGGTGGACACTGAGGAAGATCCCATCGACCCCGTCACGCCCGGACCAGGCAAATCCTCTTTCGAGATCCCGACACAACAAGTGAAGGGCGAGCCTGAACATGATGACCCGATCGATTTTGACGATGAGGAAGACGAGGAGTGGATGGACCCCGCTCCGTACCCTACAGGAACACCACCAGAGCTTGAGCCTGAGCCTGAGATGGAGGCACAGGCTACTCCTTCGCTGTCTTCTCCTCCGCAGGTCCATGCACCCCCGATGACCCAGACGCTGTCCACGAGCTCGACGTTAAGCACGACGAGCACGGGCAGCAAGAAGCGCAAGAAGAAGAAGCACGCGGCGAAGGAGAAGACGCCCGTGCCGTCCGCCACGCCTGTGCCACTACAGTACCCGTTCCCGGCGACGAGCCCGGGCGAGGAGCCGCAGCAGGAGGCGAACACAAAACGTGTACCGCAGATGCGCACGGCGAAGGCACGCGACGGCGGACGGACTCAGAGCGGCGGCATCCGCGGCGTGCCGACTGACGACCCAGATGACTTTTAAGATATCGTGTCCGGTGGCATGCGGGATGCGATGGACTTGCACGTATGTGTATGTGCCTCTTCTTTGCCGGCGGTTGTGCATATGATTGTTACCTCACTTTATTATACAGTTTCATATGGTAGCATGCCATTCTCATCACCATGTTTTTCTGTGTATACTCTCCTCCCACCCTTCATCGCCCGATCATGCACTTTCTCGGCCCGTCGTTGACTTTCACGCTTACTTATTCGAGTTTCTTCCCTGTATTCTGTGCTCTCACTCTCGGTGCAAGCCGCGTGTACTGTGTAGGGTGGTGTACACCTGCTGTGCGCTGGATGCAATCAACTTAGGATACCCCGGACGTTCTTTGACTAGGTGGACTGGCTGTATGTACAGTACGTGTGCCCTGTGCGATATTATAAGAACGCATTCCATGCTCCGAACAAGGTGAGATCCGGGTGTGCAGTACAAGATGATACTGAAGCTCTACTGAACGCTCCTTAAATAATAAATCTTACAATATTTACGAATAACGAAGAAAGCTCTCGAATTTGATCATGACCCACAACATGAGCCCATGAGCCGCTGGCGGTCCGTGTTGCGGTGAGTGAGACGAATCGCATCGTCTGACTCCTGCATGTGCAGCGTCCGTGCGTCTAATGCCTCCTCGTACTCCCGGCGCATAACAACACGACGCGCGACGTATTCGAAGACGTCAGAAACGCCCACGCCGGTCTTCGCAGACGTGAAGAACAGCTTGGGGCGCCGTTCAGGTGGTGGTGGCGTGTGGAAGGAATGGGAGGGCGACATCATGATGGTAGGTGTAGAGGGTGTCGCTGTTTGTCCACGCATGAAGAAGCTGGGCGTGATTGTTGGTGCGGAAGAAACAGACGAAGCGGAAGCCTGACGGCGCGGGGCATGGGAGGGGGATCGCGAGCGAGATGACGGGAGAGACGGGGAGCGCGGAGGAGAGATGATGGAGATGGACGCAGCAGTGCGCGCGGGGGAGGAGAAAGCTGTATCGAAGAGGTCAAAGACGGACGACGAAGGTGTGTGGTAGATGGTGTGCGTGGTGGTCATTGTGCCGACGGTGCCGCCGCGGAAGAGCGTCGAGCGGCTGCGCGAGCGCGAAGCTGAGACGCTGCCGTGAGTGTGTCGCGCGATTATGTCGATGGACTTGGTGCGTGAGTGCTCCGTATGCGAGAGCGGAGAGATGAATATGTCGTGTGACTCCGTGGGATCGTCGATGATGTCGTTCTCGGGGATGTATTGCACGTCGGCGATCGATGTGAGGGCGGGAGAGGGCGAGGATACGGGAGAAGAAATGGGTATCAGTTCATACGTAAATTGTTGCGCCTCTGCTTCGGTGACACGAGGTTGCCCCTCTGCAGCCATCTCTAGCAAGTCTACCTTGTTCCCGACGACGACGCAGCAGAAATCCTCCGCCTCGTCATCCGGGACGGGGGCCTTCTCGCGGAAGTCGGCCCACCACTTTGTGAGAGCGTGCAGGGTCTCGGGCTGATTCACGTCGAACATGAGCACCGCGGCGTCTGCGCCGCGGAAGAACGCGGATGAGAGGCTCGAGAAGCGTTCCTGGCCTGCTGTGTCCTGTCTTCTGTCTTGATGAATGCGCATGCGAAAGAAGGTAGACCACTCACCCATATTTGCAGTGTTACGGTCTCCTCAGAGCTATAGTGCGGCAGGGTCTTGGTGATGAAGTCGGCCCCAATGGTCGCGCGATATCCCGTCGTGAAGCGTCCGGAGACATACTATCGGAACTCATGGTAATTTCGTCGCAAGCTCATTGACCGCGTGCATACTTACCTGGTTGCGCAGGCTCGTCTTTCCGACGCCGGACGCACCGATGACAACGACCTTAACCGTGCGCATCCTCGGTGTTGTCGAGGACCTTCATGAGAGTGGCTGGCGTCCCGCAAGTGCCATAAACGGAAGGTCTCTGCAGCTTCGGGATAGACGCTTCGCACACAGTCTTTACGGCGACACAAGCCATTCACATTAAATGTGGTCTACATTGAATGCTACGGCACAAACATTATATACAAGACATTGATTACGACATGATCAATCATTGGATGACCATCCAGGAATATGAATCTCGCTGTGAGATAGGTTGCCATAATTGAAGGCGAGGGGAAATGGTGGGACTCAGGAGGATGAAGCAGGAAGTGACGGAGAAGGGAGATACCGTTGGAGCTCTGCGGCAGAGAGTTGTTGGAAGGGAATGGAAATGGACAAACCCGCCTTAGCCAAGCGCGTCGCGATGACAGCCTCAGCGTCTTTGAGAACCTCTATGGCCGACTTGTTGGACTGATCCTCCCATCGATTTATCTTGTCGAGGCCACTCTGTGAAAGCTCTTCTGGTTCCTCATCCTCCAGACCACGCAACTTTGTCATCTCGTAAAGTTTATCCCTCAACCAGTCCATCAACCAGTACCCAACGCTTTTCCAAACCCGTTCATTCTCATCCTTAGCCCTCCATCTTCCAAAATTCGTGTAGAGAAAGTCGTTCTTGAAGGCGCGACAACGACTGTAATCGCCAGTATCCCATTTTGCCAAATCCGCATCGTTTTTGCTGACGCCACGCAGCAGCTTATAGGGCAGGATCCAAAGGAATGATTCGAAATCATGGCGGTACAGGCGCACGATCTCTCCGCGGAAATACTCTCTTGAGAGGAGATCCATTGCCATGAAGGGGATGGTGCCGGTCCGTTCCTGCCCTGTCGCCTGGTTCCTATCGTCCAGGCGGATCCTAGCCAAATCGAAAACATTCAGGACACCTTTTCGGGTGATGGGGTCATAGAGCAGGTTGTCAATACTGATGTCCGTGTGAGCAAAGCCCTTCATCCAGAGCGCGAAATGGCCTGCTCGAGAGCGAATTAGACGACAAACCACTGAAGTAGCTTGATACTCACATCGATAGCATTCCACCCATACACGCAGAAACTCCTCAGCGGGCAATCCGTCGATGGGCAACAGTTTCCGCATCAGCAGTAGACCCATGCAATGTGAGTCACCGATAGCATTCCCCACAGTTCGTCCTTCTTTCTGGATATCCTCGCGAATTGTTCCAGTCGAGTAGTTCAGGTCGTACGAGGCAAGTACTGTGGGCAGATGTCCCTCTATGAGCGGATCTCCCCGACCCAGTTCTACTGCCCGCTCCAAAATGACAGCGTCGCTCGTGAGAATGACCTCCGGCCAGTATCTCTTCATGACTGCATCTGCCTTCTTCTGCGTGGCCTCAAATTCCTTTGTTTCCCGACCGAAAAGGGAATATCGCGGTTTAACGATTTTGTCAGGACGTGTAATGGCGGCTGCTTTGACGTTCGTCTGATCTTCGCGATCTCCGAATACGATGTCAAAGCCGTGGGGTTTGCGACGAGGATGGCTCTCATGAGCTGTTCCGAGTCTGTCGTTCCTCGGATACTCTCTCGTAGCCCTCTTCAGATAGTGCTGATGTCCATCCCTTCTCAGTGTGGCGTCAATACCACATTCACGCAGACCCAAATGACGGAATGTGGCAATCAGAACTAGGAAATAGGGAAGGTCCTTGATGAAATCGACACCGCTTGACTGGATTGCACCTTGTCGATCGTACCACCATACCCATGCTAAGTTGTCTGAAGTGTCGCAGTCAGTCATAGCTCATGCAACAATGGTGAACAAGTACTTGCCAACGATGACGACGTTAACTGCATGCATCGCATATCGCCGCGTTAGCATTTCCGCTGCATACATGCCAGATCGTATAACAACAGGAGGGCCTTTCTTCTTAGGTTCCTCAGGCATCATGTCGGAGAGAATGATGGCAGCGTTCCCGCAACAACATTACGCTCAGTGGTTCACCGGAAAGAAGCCTATCTAGGATCAGGCTGCACATGACCCTATCGATGCAAGCGGAGAGAAAAAAATTAATGCAGTGTACCGAGTCCTTCGAACCGATGCCACAGGTGCCACGAGGCCATCGTGATGATCACGTAATGATGCATCCAATTCTTCCCTGGCAGACTGTGTCCACGTCCCCATCCACGTGCAGCCGAGATTGTAAGAGGTCAAGGGGCGCTTTTGCCCATAACTTGCGCAGAACATTGAACTCACAACAATAACCATCCACGAGGATCCTGATTCCTCGATACTGTTTGACCAAATGATCGCTCGAGCTCTGCATCACGCCGGACAACGCTCAGGGTGGCTACGTTCGACGACACCGAGCGGTGAAAGCATATCGGCTCGGCTGGATGGTATCTGTGTTGGTAAGTCAAACTCCATGTACGAACAGAAAGTCTGTCCGAATCCTCGACCCGGTGTGTTCCGTACCCGAGCTCTGTGGCTGATGTGCCTGACATATGACAGGATACAATAGTTATCGAATAACAATACCGAAAATTTAGCGGCTGTGACCAAGAGACACTGGACGATGCATATTCTTGTCGCGGACATGCAGTCTGGTCCCGAATGGTCGCCACTACTCGCGGCGAGCGTCTAAACAATGACATATTGTTCAGCTGAAACAAACGTTTTGAAGCTCGGTCGAGCAATATCCAAAATCTCACTCACATTTTCGGCACACTCAACGCAGGCGCGATCATATCGATCACATTCGGGTTTTCCATATCACGACGATGAGTCGTCAGACGGAAAATGGAAGCGCTGCCTCCTCGACCCGTTCATCGCGACACCGAACGGCAAATATCATATGTAGAAACCCTGGACTAGAAAAAGCCTGTCGATTTTAATGGCTCTGCCTAGCTGTGATTCTCCTTCCCCAGTGTTGCGTGATAAGCATTCTTTTGCCGGCGCCGCCTCGTCTCAGCACCGGTAGATGTGGCCGACCACTCTTGTGACGGAGCCGCCCAATGTGCGCTTGGACGAGAACGCTCGACGAATGGCGGCCGTGAGACAGTAAATCTTGTCTGTCCACGGCTAGCGCTGGCACGCGACTCGCAAACATGTCCTCCTCTTTCTAGATGCCGAATCCTTGCTCGCAGCATAATGCACTCCACCGAAGGATTGATCAATCATCTATTCGGCTTTCCCTACGCCACACAATGATATTGGATACACATCGGAGCCGCTCTTAGCCCGAGGTTGGCACCTCCGAGACGGGCGATGCTGTTATAGATCGTATGAAAAACAGGTTTCTTAATTCACATGCAAGCCCAGGAGTCACCGAATGGACGTCGTGCGGTGGCCACCTGAGAGTGTGCGTTGTCTGTCAGCGTGTCTTTCTTTCCAAGCAAAGTCTCGCAACAGCTCACTTAATATTGTCTGAGTCTGTGGGGAACACAGTGAGCTTGTCTTCGTCCATTGGGCAGACTAAGGATGAATCGGGATTTGATGGAGAAGGGAGGTGCAAAGTTGAAGCAATGGGCGGAAGGTAATGGACGAATCCGCTAAGTGCTCTATCATGACACTCTCAGCTTCTTTGAGAAGGAGTATGGCCGACTGGTTGGACTGATCCTCCCATCGATTTATCTCTTCGAGCTCACTCTGTGACAGCTTCTCTGGTGCGAAATACTCCAAATCGAGTAAGCTGTTCACTGCGAAGCGTTTTTCTCTCAACCACCTCAACAGCCAAACCCCAACGCCTTTCCAAACCCGTGCGTTCTCACCCCGAGCTCGCCATCTTACCAGCGCTCCGAGGAAGTCGTACTTGAAACCACGACAAAGCTTGTAATTTAAATTCTTCATCTTGTTCCACAGAAAATCCACGCAGCAGTATATAGGGCAGGACCCAAAGGAATGATTCGAAATCGCGATACAGGCGCACGATCTCTCCGCGGAAATACTTGCTTGAGAGGAGGTCGATTGCCATGAATTGGATGGTGCCAGTCCGTTCCTGCCCTGTCGCCTGATTGTTATCGTGTAGGCGCATCCTAGCCAAATCAAAATCATTTATAACACTGTTCTGAGTAATGGGGTCATGAAGCGAGTTGTCGAGAGTGATATCTGTGTGTTCAATATCCTTCATCCAGAGCGCGGAATGGCCTGTTCGGGAGCCGATCAGATGACCATCGCCGAAGTAGCATGATACTCACTTCGATAACATTCCACCCATTCACGTAGGAACTCGCCACCGGGAAATCCATCAATGGGCAACAATTTCTGCATCAGCAGTAGGGGCGTGCAATGTGAGTCACCGATAGAATCCCCAACATCTGGCCCTTCTCTCTGGATGTCCTCCCGAATTGCTCCGGTCGAATAGTTCAGGTCGTACGAGGCAATCATCGTGGGCAGATGGAGATGGTCTCCCTGACGCAGTCCCACTGCCCGGTCAATGGTGACAGCCACACTTGTACGAGTGATCTCCGGCCAGTATATCTTCATCACTATATCTTCTTTGGTCAGCTTCTCCTGCGTGGCTCCAAAGACCGTTGTTCCCTGACCGAAGAGGAAAGAGCGCGAGTTAAAGATTTTGTCTGGATGTACAATAGCCGCTGCTCTGACATTTGTCTGATCTTCGCGATCTCTGAATACGACGTCGAAGCCTTGGTGATCGCGACGGGGATAGACCTCGTCAACTGCTCTGTCGTTCCTCAGATACTCCCTCAAAGTCCTCTTCAGATAGTGCTGGTATCCATCCTTTATCAGTGTGGCGTCGATACTCCACTCGAATGTGGCAATCCAATTCTTGATGAAATCGACACCACTCGACTGGATTGCACCTTGTTGATCACACCACCATGCCCATGCTAAATCGTCTGAAGCATCGCAGTCAGCCTTCATAGCTCATACAACAATGGAGAACAAGTGCTTGCCAACGATGAAGACGTTGATTGCGTGCATCGCATAGCGCGCCGATAGCATTCTCGCTGCATGCACGCTGGATTGTTCAACAACGAGAGGATCTTTCTCCTCAAGTTCCTCAGTCTTCATGTCGAAGAGACTTATGTTTGACATATGATGGTGGCAGAGTTCTAACAACACGTTACGCCCAATGGTTCACCAGGAAGAAGCCTATCGTCGACGATCTGGGATCGAGCCGCGCATGACCATATCGATGGCAAGCGGAAAGGAAAAAATGATGCGCTGTATACCTCCTTCCGACGTCTTCTGATGCCACGGAGCCCACGAGGCCATCATGATCAGCCAATGATCCATCCAATTTTCCCCTGACTGGCTGTGTCCGCATCCTCATCCACGCGCAGCCGAGATTGTCAGAAGTCAAGGGGAGATGGCTTTCGTCAATGTTGTACATAACCAGAACATTGAACTCACAATGATAACCATCCATCAGAATCCTCACCATCATTCGACCAAACAACGCTGGTGGCTACATTCGATCACGCCAAGCAGTGAATGCATCCCATCTTGGCTGGACGGTATCTGTGCAGACATGAGTCAGGTTCCTTGTACGAACAGAGCGTCTGTCCGAATCCTCGACCCGGTGTGTTCTGTACCCGATGTGGCTGATGTGCACGACATCTGACATATGGCTAGGCTCGTTGGAGTCATCACTTTTCATTGAATAATGACGCTGCAAACTAACGGTTGTGACCAAGAGACATGGGACGATGTGTGTTCTCGTCACGGACATCCTGCATCCTGGTCTCGGCGAATGGTCGCCACTACCCGCGGCGGGGAACGTTAAACCGACATCATGATGGTAGGTGTAGAGGGTGTCGCTGCTTGTTCACGCATGAAGAAGCTGGGCGTGATTGTCGGTGCGGAAAAACAGACGAAGCGGAAGCCTGACGGCGTGGGCCATGGGAGGGGGATCGCAAGCGAGAGGACGGGAGAGACGGGGAGCGCGGAGGAGAGATGATGGAGATGGACGCAGCAGTGCGCGCGGGGGAGGAGAAAGCCGTATCGAAGAGGTCAAAGACGGACGACGAAGGTGTGTGGTAGATCGTGTGCGTGGTGGTCATTGTGCCGATGGTGCCGCCGCGGAAGAGCGTCGAGCGGCTGCGCGAGCGCGAAGCTGAGACGCTGCCGTGAGCGTGTCGCGCGAGGATGTCGATGGACTTGGTGCGTGAGTGCTCCACGGAAAGCGGAGAGATGAATATGTCGTGTGACTCTGTGGGATCGTCGATGATGACGTTCTCGGGGATGGATCGCACGTCGGCGATCGATGTGAGGGCGGGAGAGGGCGAGGATACGAAGGAAGATGTAGGTATTAGTTCATACGCAAATTGTTGCGCCTCTGCTTCGGTGACGCGAGGTTGCCCCTCTGCAGCCATCTCTAGCAAGTCTACCTTGTTCCCGACGACGACGCAGCAAAAGTCCTCAGCCTCGTCATCCGGGACGGGGGCCTTCTCACGGAAGTCGGCCCACCACTTTGTGAGGGCGTGTAGCGTCTCAGGCTGATTCACGTCGAACATGAGCGCCGCGGCATCTGCGCCGCGGAAGAACGCAGATGAGAGGCTCGAGAAGCGCTCCTGGCCTGCTGTGTCCTGTCTTGTGTCTTGATGAATGCGCATGCAGAAGAAGGTAGACCACTCACCCATATTTGCAGCGTTACGGTCTCCTCTTGAGAGCTGTAGTGCGGCAGGGTCTTGGTGATGAAGTCGGCTCCAATAGTCGCGCGATAGCCAGTCGTGAAGCGTCCGGAGACATACTATCCGAATCCATGGTCATTTCGTGGCAAGCCCATGGACCGCGTGCATACTCGCCTGGTTGCGCAGGCTCGTCTTTCCGACGCCGGACGCACCGATGACAA